CTTTTTTTTTTTTTTTTTTTTTGGTAGCATGCTGTGGAATATCATGTATGAAAATCGAATACATTATTTGACTGTAATAAACATTTAACACAGTATTTGTCAGTTTTTTAGCCATGGCAATGAAGAGGTATTTACCAAACTGTGGGGTGACAATTCTTAATGACTAGATTCACAAGCCATATAGCTAAATTTGAATAGTTATGTTCTATTTCTCTTTGAATAGTTATTATGTTACTGCATAATAATAGGAATTAGGGGAGAGCAGCGTGTGTAAATGAGAAGAAAACGAAATTATGGAAAATCTACCTCTAAATATTTTGGGTGTTTTCATTTGTAAAGGCACTAGAACTGCTGACACCACCTGTTCCCGATAATGAGAATGCCCGAGTGAAAGCGTATGTGAGACGTGGAACAGCGTTTTGTCAGCTGGAATTATACACTGAAGGTGAGACCTTGGTTTTGTGACAACAGGCACATGGATTTATAGTGACATTCAGGTAATTCTGTTTAGCTCAATGAGAGTGCTCACACCTTTAATTTTTCAAGAGGGACGTTAAAGGAGGCCTGTACAACATGTTTCTTTTGTTACAAGCCTTCATACCACATTCCCTAGTTTTTAAATTTAATTTACTGGCTAATTGACTTGAAAAATCTTTACAAGTTTTAAGAAAAATGATTGTACTCCTAATTGAAGGAGTTTTCCTATTGAGGAAAAGGCTTCGGTGAATTGTGTATCCTCTGTTTGGTCTGTTGGGTCAGTCCTTCTTGTGTGTAGTAGCCCCCGGCAGCTTGGTGGCCACAGAAGGTTTCAGTGAGGAACGAATGAGAGGTTGGAGATGAGATATTCACACTGGGAAGCGTTCCAATGCAGGATGCGAACTGATAGGAAACTAGGTTGCACTAGTTTTTCTGTTCATGAAGCAATGTTTTATTGGTTTTGAGATTATATTTACAGTATTTTCAACTGTGGAACAAATTAACATGAAATACTTCTCAATTTGCTTGTGAAGTGCTTAGTAATGTGTCTGTGTAAAAGGATTTATGAAACCCGTATTGATGAGCAAAATGTTTCATCAAGTACATGTGATTTGTGTGAAAATAGCTGAATTAACAGGGTCCCTACTGAGTTCTCTAAGAGTACCAGTTCGGTTTTGTAAGGCAAATTTGCAAGTGAAAGTCAATAATAGAGAGTGAAGAATATAAAAAATGTCAGTGTTGAAATGCTAAGCTTTTCTCATGGGTTACCTTTTTCTACCTATGAATCACTTTGTCATTCCCTTACAGCTTCATTTGCACTTGGAAACCTTATAAAAAAGACAATTAAACAAGATTTTATTTTACTTCCTGTATTCATGGTTTGTCTTTTTTCTCCCCAAGCTCCACTATTCGCAATTCATGTCTTTTTTTTTTTTTCCTTGTTTTCATGCCATTTCATTCTGTTACTCAATTTTACTCGTCTGCAGAACACTTTCGAACACTCCCCCATTCACATGTGCATGTATATGTGTATATGTGTTTTCACATTTCAGTACCTGCAAATGTTTCTGCAGTACAGCATTTCCACTAAAATGTTTTGTGAAGTAATGTAAACAAAATATAAATTTATCTACTGACAAAGCCTAATGTAATTCTGATTCCGTCTTGCTCAACAGCAAAACTCAAGATCAATACATTATGTGTGTGACTAGGGAGCAGTTATTTCCAGTTAGTTGCTAAAGAGGATGCTCTTGCATTATTGATTGACCTTCTTATTAAATGTATCTATATTAGGTCTCCAGGATTATGAAGCAGCTCTCAAGATTGATCCTAAAAATAAAACTATAGAAAAAGATGCTGAGAAGATTCGACACCTAATTCAAGGAACAACACAAGAATCTTAATAGAAAAAAAAAAAAAAAGACATGAATTGCGAATAGTGGAGCTTGGGGAGACAGGGACACCTTTTGAGGGCATCAGAAAGAATCTTAGTTCTCTTCAGTATGTTCTTAACTAGACATTTTTCTGTTTCACTCAGAACACCTACAGAACTGATAAAAGGTTGGATATATGAATTACTATTTTGGAAAGCATAGTGTTATAACAAATACCATCAGATATATTTCATATCAATTTGATACGAAGTGGTCATATTTTTGCTTTCTGTGATATATTGTTGGGCTGAATATTAAAACATGCTTTTGGTACTTGATCTAAAGTTATTCATAACTAAATTAAATATTTGCTTGGAAGTATTTACTGAATCTAGACAGTTGGTTTTCAGACAACTTTGGTAGCTCCATATAGTCAATTCCTGTTAACTTCTTGTTTTTCTGTTCTTCACCAAAGCGGAACGAGTTGTGTTTCATTATGGTTTTATATATATATATATATGGGGGGAGTGAGTGTGGGGCTTCATTGCCAGCTGGGGTTCAACCATGACAACACAGCAAAATCAAAATAAATCAGATATTGACAGTTATTCCCAGAATGACTGAAATAACAGATTTATTTTCTTAAAGCTAGGTGTCTCATCTAAGTCTATGGGAAAAAAAAGATGGAGATGTATTTTTATAGAGTATGCTGGAAATTGGGGTAGTCGTATACCCTACTTCTGTCAATGGCAGTGTTTAAATAACTGTCTTGAAAGGATGCACAAGTCAGCAAGTGTTTTGAAAAGGTTTGATCCACGGGATGATAAATACAGGGTATCATCTGTGAGATGGGTGGGATAGCACCATATTCACTTGAAGTTGTTTTAAACAGTAAAACCTGAGGCTTTGTCAAAGAACCGTTGGTCCTGAGTGTTTTGGGGTCCAGCGTACAGGAGAACACCGGGTTGCCAGGGTTTGTGCAGAGAGGCAGATGAGGAGATTGGTTCTGCTCAGTGGTCAGACTTGATGGCAGTTCCTTGGCAGAAGTCATCTTCTTTCCCTATTAGAAGACATATTTTAATTCAGCCTTTCAAATAACAGGGCAAAGCATTTCAAATCTGTTAAATGTTTGTGGTCAGAGCAAATG